GTGCCAGGACATCTTTAAAGCCTTACCTGACCAACAGACTCTCATCAGAGCGGTCCTGACCAACGGAGTCGCTGGAGTTGGAAAAACCTTCTCAGTGCAGAAGTTCACTCTGGACTGGGCCGAGGGTTTGGGAAACCAAGATGTCAGTCTGGTGATCCCGCTCTCCTTCAGGGAGCTGAACCTGATCAAAGGTGAGCAGTACAGTCTTCTCAGGCTGCTCCATGTTTTCCATCCAACCTTACAGAAGGTCACAGCAGAGCAGCTGGCTGTCTGCAAAGTGCTGCTCATCTTTGACGGCCTGGATGAAAGCAGACTTTCTCTGGACTTCAGAAAGAAGAAGGTTGTGTCTGATGTCTCAAAGAAGTCCTCAGTCAACGTGCTGCTGACAAACCTCATCAGGGGGAAGCTGCTTCCCTCGGCTCTCGTCTGGATAACTTCCAGACCTGCAGCGGCCAATCAGATCCCTCCTGAGTGTGTGGACAGGGTAACAGAAGTACGAGGCTTCACTGACGCCCAGAAGGAGGAGTACTTCAGGAGGAGATCGAGTGATGAAGACCTGTCCAGCAGAATCATCTCTCACATCAAGAGCTCCAGGAGCCTCCACATCATGTGTCTGATCCCAGTCTTCTGCTGGATCACTGCTGCAGTTCTGGACCACCTGTTGACTACAGACCAGAGAGGAGAGCTGCCCCAGACCCTCACTGACATGTACTCTCACTTCCTGCTGGTCCAGACCAAGAGGAAGAAGCAGAAGTATGAAGCGGGACATGAGACGAGTCCACAGCAGCTGACGGAGGCTGACAGGGAGGTTCTTCTGAAGCTGGGGAGGCTGGCGTTTGAACATCTGGAGAAAGGACACATCATGTTCTACCAAAAAGACCTGCAGCGCTGTGCTCTTGATATCACCGAGGCCTTGGTGCACTCAGGAGTTTGTACAGAGATCTTCAAAAGAGAGAGAGTGATCTTCAAGAAAACAGTCTACTGCTTTGTTCATCTGAGCATTCAGGAGTTTCTGGCTGCAGTCTACTTGTTCCACTGTTACACCAACAGGAACAAAAAGGTACTGAAGGACTTCCTGAAGAAGGACTGGCCCTATACGAACAGTAAAAACAGTGATCAGGATTACCCATCCCTGGATGTCTTCCTAAAGGGAGCCATGGAGAAATCCCTCAGAAGTAGAAATGGCCACCTGGACCTGTTTGTCCGCTTTCTCCACGGCCTCTCTCTGGAGTCCAACCAGAGACTGTTAGGAGGCCTGCTGGGTCGCACAGACAACAGACCAGAAACCATCCAGAGAGCCATCAGCAACCTGAAGGAGATGAGAAGTGATGAAATCTCTCCTGAGAGGAGCATCAACATCTTCCACTGTCTGACAGAGATGAAGGACCACTCAGTACATCAGGAGATCACAGAGTTCCTGAAGTCAGAGAACAGATCAGAGAAGAAACTCTCTGAGATCCACTGCTCTGCTCTGGCCTACATGCTGCAGATGTCAGAGGAGGTTCTGGAGGAGTTGGACCTGGACAAGTACAAAACATCACAGGAGGGGAAACAGAGACTGATTCCAGCTGTGAGGAACTGCAGGAAGGCTGAGTAAGTCCAGATGTGATTAATTTTATAAACTAATGTGGATCAGAAGTTTAATTGTTCAAATAAACACTATAACATTTCTGCTGTTTAAATACTGAGAGCAAAATAAACCAACACTGTTCATCTATTTATTTATAATAATAGTTAAACTGAAGCGTTTCTCTCTTCATATTGAGTGATGGAGGCGACATGTCAAACACATGAAGGACTTGAGAGGTTCCTCAGCATGTGATCACACCACACAGCAGGACTTACAGTTATCAGTTATTATTACTTTCTAGTAGTTTCTTTATCATTAAACACACACACGTTCTTATCACAATGTGTTAGAGTTTAAAATCAGATCTATATCATATCCCACCAATACCAGAGTTATGTCTTAATGCTCATATAGTGAGAACATCTGATGGTATTCAGTTTAAAATATTGAAACTTTATTGATTTGTTAATTGTGTTTGTGTTTACAATACATTTCCAGATGCTCAGAGAAACTAAAACATCCATCATTCACATCTAAATATTAATTAACATTTAAATATGTACAGTACATCTCTAATATTGTCAAGTGATTTATTTAATTTCTGTTTCTTTGGTAACAGTCAGTGACAGCAGGAGCACAGACATGTGATCAGATCACACTGACAACACATTACACTCTATTATCATATATTATTATATATAAAATGGACCAACAGCAAATCTCAATCAGAACATGTCAAATATGTTTTTCATCAAATGCTTGAGGTCATTATGTTTCCTCTTATTTTAACACATGTTGTAATATATGTGTTATTATAGACTTGCTCTCTGTGGACTCTCAGAGACTCACTGTGAAGTCGTGGCCTCAGCTCTGAAGTCTGACCCCTCCCATCTGAGAGATCTGAACCTGGGCGTCAACCCTCTGAAGGATTCAGGAGTGGAGCTGCTGAGTTCTGGACTAAAGAGTCCAAACTGCAGGCTGGAGACTCTCAGGTCAGTTCACTGACTGAACTTCATCTGTTTGTGTTTATCATTTTCTGAATTTGAAAAAAATACATTAAAGTTTTTTTTCCACTTTTGCTAAAGACTGAATATTGATCAGAATAACACAGAGAAGGTGAATGTGTGAGGGAGAGTGTTTGAGCTTCCACAGACTCACTATGTGCTCCATGAGTCAGTGGAGATGCTGTCAGTACTGATGAGCTGTGAGGGAGATGAAGGAGTTGTTAAACATCTGATCAAAGTTAAAGTTCCAGATTATCAATGGATTGTTTCTACATCATCTCTGAGATTAAAGGTCTCCGATCATGCAAAAGTCACTTTTTGATGTCTTTTCTACATCACCATGTAGAAATGTCCCCGGTGTGTCCCTATGTGTCCCCGGTGTGTCCCCGGTGTGTCCCTATGTGTCCCCGGTGTGTCCCTATGTGTCCCCGGCATTAGCTCCACCTCCTTTTTTTTTTTTTCAAGCTAAGGACCCGAACCTGCTCTTCTCTAACAGCTGGAACAGAGGGATGTGTGGGATTTCTAAAATGCATGATCTGTTTGGTATTTTGAGCAAAACACATCAGAGACATGTTTTTATATATTTGTGTATATCTGAGACCCATAATATATGCCTAAAAATAGCATGATAGGAGACCTTTAAAACCCTGTTTAACTCTGAACAGATTATTAAACCTGGAGTTATTTCAAACGGGAACTTTGTTTTCTAAAGTTACATCATGTTCTCTTTATTCAGTCTGAGGAGCTGCAGTTTGTCAGAGATCAGCTGTTCTGCTCTGGCCTCAGCTCTGAAGTCCAACATCCATCTGAGAGATCTGGACCTGGGTTGGAACGATCTGAAGGATTCAGGAGTGGAGCTGCTGAGAGATCTTCTGGAGAGTCCAGACTGCAGACTGGAGACTCTCAAGTCAGTTCACTGACTCTCTGTTACTGCTGGAGATCTCATGTTTCATTAGTTATTCAACCTGATTCTTCTACAGAATTAACTTACATCTATAAAGTTGTAAATGTTCTTTTATTCATACTTTCATTTGTAGGTACTAAAGTAAGAACTGCTGAGATAAATGTTGACTGTTCCTTAAAGGAACTGTAATAGATGTTAGTTGTGAAAAGTAAATCTATGTTTTTAATATTTAGTAAACGATAACGTCTGAATAAAGTTCATCTGAAGTAATATTAGTTTTACAGGATAAAGTTGACTTTCTGAAGAAGACATGTTTTTGTTCCCATTCATTTCAATGTTGAGTAACACATCTGATTATAAACTGATTTGTATCCTCATCATGTTCTCTTTATTCAGACTGCAGAGCTGCAGTTTGTCAAAGATCAGCTGTTCTGCTCTGATCTCAGCTCTGAAGTCCAACATCCATCTGAGAGAGCTGGACCTGAGTCTCAACAAGCTGCAGGATTCAGATGTGGAGCTGCTGAGAGATCTTCTGGAGAGTCCAGACTGCAGACTGGAGACTGTCTGGTCAGTAAGGGGTCTCTGCTGGTTCAGCAGTATTGTATGAACCACAGGGAGGTGTTTCTCTCACTGGGGAAACAGATCAGTGATGTTACCCACTGACTGCAGGCTCTTTCATTCTTCCATCAACTACAGAAGGCCAGCTGAACATGCAAAGCCACACTTTAGTAATCAACTCTCTAACAGACATATGGGGTTTTACGGAAGAGTGGGAAAGGTAGTCTGTTCTTATGGGATGTTTTTAGTTTCTAGACCAGGGGTGTCCAAACTGCGGCCCGGGGGCCAAATGCGGCCCTCAGCAAATTCTGAAAGTATAATTGAATATGGCCCACAAAGGAAACTTCTGCTTGTCTTATATTGTACTTCTTAAATATATATATGTACACATATATTACACAGTAGTATTCATGTGTTAATAATCCCACCTTTAAAATAAATTCAGTCAATTAAAGCTGAAAACATTTTCTAACAAATCTAACTTGATAAGAAAAAAGCCCAATAACTTATTTTTATAACAAGCGTGAAATAAACCCTTCATATTTCCTGTAATTATAATCAATCTGAAGCTCCTGTTTAAAGGAATGAGCTGCTGACAGAATACAGTAAACCCTCTGGAGAGCTGAGAGCTGTTTTGTTTCTTAAAGCATCCTCAAGTAACAAGCATCCTTTACCTTCATCTGATTGAGTTTCCTGACTTATAACTGAACTTATGAGGCAACATACCTCTAGAGAGCGGCCCAGACCTTTATATATTTTTCTGTATGTGGCCCTCTGTGAAAAACGTTTGGACCCCCCTGATCTAGACCAATGAGTAGTTACTTCCTGTCATGCAGCTGAGAGCTGTGGCAGGCAGTTGTAGTGTTTGCAGAGAAGATATGATGGGATGTAAAGCATGAGATCAGGACTCTGAAGCTGACTCAAAGAACAAACACTTATTTTAAACTGGATCTTAAACTGTTGGATTGTGTTCATCTCTACAGGATCAGACCAGGAGAGACGATCATAGCCACGATCCAGAAGACCTGTGAGTACTGAAACCATATCCTCCATTCATCAAGATAGTAAACTCTTTAATGGAGCGTGACCTCAGAGGAAAACAACACTCTTCTTTCTCTCTCTTCATCATTCTGGCTGTTTCTCTTTGTTTTATCATCATCATTATTCTCTCTCTCTCTCCTTCTCCTCTCAGGTGACAGGAAGTGAAGACACAGAGAAAGGTGAGAGGTCGTACCGTGTGAAGTTTATTTATTGAGGTTTCAACACGTTTTTCTGGTGTTCCAGACAAATCTGTAAGCTCAGGTTTTATTTGTTCTCAGTTTATTCATCACGGGGCGAGTTTGAGACGTACAGAGGAGCGTGGAGGCATTTTGGAAAATAAAGAAGAAGGCTGCAGCTGATGAGAGACTTCCTGTTGGCTCTCCTCAATATGAAATGAACAAAAACAATCAATTGTACTTAAAGCTTTTCTTGTTTTGGTCATGTCCTCGCCTACAAGGATACTGGACAAGCATTTTCAAACACCTTGCTGAGGCCTTGGACGTGGTATTGACACCATGTGCAGAAACTGTCATTTTCGGAGTACTACCTGGCCACAGAGTGATGAGGAGGAAAACTAAAGACAGTATAGCCTTTGCAACTATTTTAGCACGTAGAAGAAGACTCCTAGAATGGAAATCTTCGATACCACCTAAAGCATCTCTATGGCTTAAAAATCTTATGATGTACCTGAACTTAGAGAAGATCAAATATAACCTGAGGGGCTCCTCAAAACTATTTGATTCTGTCTAGGGCTCTATGATAGCCTACATAGCTGAACTTAAGACACTACATTAAGAAGAAAGGGGGGAACTACGAATGTTTGGTTTTTGTCTCCTTTTGTATTTGTATTTTTTATTTTTGTTGTTGTTGGTTTGTTTTGTTTATTTTGTTTTTTGCTTTGTCTCTGTCTTTATATACATGTATGTGTACGTGTATGTGTATATGTGTGTAGGTATGTACATATATATATATATGTGTATGTGCATATGTGGGTATACATATGTGAGTATATGGTACATGTATTATGGCTATTATTCTTTATTTCCGTATCTATTAATTAATGTTCTTTTAATATTATCTTTTACATTACTGTATTTTTTACCTATATATGTATCCATTTACTTAGTTATTTACTTTACTAGCTACTGTAGGACCGGGAGGGGAGGGGGGGAAAGGGGAAGAAAAAAATAAATATTGACTGTATAAATGTAAACTCACTGTGCCTGATTCAATAAAAACAAATTACAAAAAAAAATAAGCTTTTCTTAAGAAGAAAGATGTGTTGCACATACACCTGCTGCTACCTACCACCACCTCCCACCCATCCCGGCACCAAAGAGGAGACTCCATCGACCCCAGATACCCCAACTCACTTCAGGTTAGCTTGGAGCCCCGCCTTTACCTGCCCCAACACCTCACTTTGAACGATGAAGTCATCCGGATATCTGCATACTGAGAGTGGGACGCAGGAGCCGGTCAATGAGCTGCTGGAAGGGGGTCCACTGGACTGGAGGGGCGCTTGGATCTGGTGATGCCTTGCTCTCTCTGAAAGGGGAGGACACCTATCGGCCATAGTTTCTCCACCTGATGACTGAGTTCGGCATCGGGGGGTCCAGTTGGGGTGAAGAGACTCTGGGGGGCATCCGATGGCTCCTGAATAGGGGGGGCCCTTGGAGTGTCCAACCTAATGAGACAACTGTTGCGTCGCCGTGTTCTCCTGCGTCTTGGCCATGTGTCGCACTGGAACACACCGCAAAGACTTCAGCCGAGCACGTACGAACTGCGCATGCGTGAGTGGCAATAACTCTCCTTACCAGCAGGCGGCGGTAGTGTGTATTCGTCATTCAAAAGAGGCAACAACCGGAAGACAGAGAAGAAGAACACACTAAACAAACAACAAATAGCGTGTGCGTTCCATTTTCACTCTCGTCCATCGAAAACATGTTTCGTGCGGTACTGGAGCTATCAGCCATTGGAGTGTTGCTTGTGGAAGGCATTCTCAAGCAACCGTTTCGCTTCTCATGCACTGATTCGCTAGCTGAACAGCCAATCAGAGTGATTTCTTTATCCGACTGCCTGTGGCCGACGCACGGCCGAATCAACATGTTGAATCGGCCGTGCGTCGGCCATAAAAGGCCAAATAAGATGTGTCACGGCCGACGGTGCGGAACACACCAAATTGAGTTTGGGCGACAGGGCACGCTTCGTCGTCCGACTAACGAAAACGGCCGATTTCGGCCTGGTGTGTCAGGGCCTTTAACTGCACCAGATTGATGCATTTAACTCCAAATTTAAAAAGAAAATCTTACTGGGGGAGCATGCCCCCGGGCATCCCCAATTAAAATTACATGGATAGATTCCTAAATACATTTACAATTTTATTTAAATAGTAACCCATGCCCATATGTTTATTTGTGGGTAGTAGATTTGAACTATAGGGCTATCACTATGGGCAGCAACACTGTATATATTGACAAATAAATCCAGCAAAATGGCACAAAAAAAAACTGGAAGTGGCCTAGCTGGGTGTTTAATTTCCGGCCCGAGTTATTGTCTCGGTCCGGCCCTGGCTGTACCTGTTCGCTCTGCCATCGCGTGAAGGGTCTGCTAACAAGCGACCAACAGAAAGGTTAATGGTAATGTTACTGTTGCACGTCACTTCACCCTTCCGTCCCCCCAAGTATATTTCAGAATTGTGGGAAACTCTGGTCTCTCCTTTGCTTTAATGTGTGTGTGTAGCTGCAGCAGCTGTGTTTATATTGTTTATATATACCTATGTATACATGGCCACAATAAGTTCTGGGTTATTTATGTTTTGTGTAGCTTAATAATTTAATTGTTGCACCAACAGTCCATCAAGTAGCATCCATAGAAGATGAATAGTATATCATTGAGTAGCATATCCAACAACATTTATATGCACTGTATATTGTGGCCTAAATTAATTTTTTAAGTTACCTTTTAAAAAAGTAACGTTGTGATGTTTAGTCAGAGTTCATTTTAAAGGACCCTCTTTCACTTTTATCCAGTACATGTGTTGATAGTAGAAACTCAATAGGAAAATCACTTTTACCTTAGTAAATAATTACTATTTCTAGTACTCTTTCCATTCCTGTTTAATCGTATTATCATAGTGTATCCATACCCTTAGTGATTATTTTAATAAATTGTATTCATACTTTTTTATGGGTTTTAAATCACTTGTCAAATCACAGGCGACTGTGGCTTCGAGGGAGTGCGGTCGTCTTTCAACCAGAAGGTTGTGGGTTCGATCCCAGCCCATGCAGTCAACATGTCGATGTATCTTTGGGCAAGATACTGAACCCTGAGTTGCTCCCGATGGCATGGCCAATGGTGTGTGAATGTTAGGTCCTAGAGCAAGTGGTATGAATGGGTGTGAATGGGTGAATTACATGTAGTATGTAAAGCGCTTTGAGGGGTCGTAAAGACTGGATAGCGCGCTATATAAGTACAGTCCATTTGTCTAATATTTGTAATTGGTCAACTGTTGGGTTTATTTATTCTTAATGGTTTGTATCCACACAAATCAATTATGGCTCCCTTTTAGTTGGTAATATACCATTTATATATAGTGCCAGTGGCTACGTCAACCTGTGGTAGTCCTACTGTGTATTTTAATGATGCAGTACTGTCTGCAGCCTCTGGGTGTCACTGCAGGACTGTCTGTCTCTTCAGCTCCGCTCTGATTGGTTTGCATCTCCAGTGAAAACCCTGTGTGTCGCTCAGCTGCAGATACAGAGAATGGCACGGAAACATCTGAACAGGTTTCATCACTAATATTTCTGCACATATACCATGAATCTCTACCTGACTATGAATTGAAAGGGCTCACCTCATTTCCATAACAGATACCATTTTAATTAATTTGACAGAATAAGAAGTTTTGTTTTTGTGCCAGAGGAGTACATCCAGCTGGACAAACGACATGACTCTTTATGTATTTTTTAATCATACGTATTTGCTTTTGATCTGACCATCTCTTAATTGATATTCATTCAATCTGTACAAGCTGTGGCATATTTTAACGTGTGCTTATTTATATTATTACAAATAAACATAATAGATAAATAAGGAACAATCAAAGTTGAAGTTTAGGAAACAAATCTTTGTGTATTGTGTATTTTTTTGGCCACTTTGGGGCCAACGGAAACAAGTCGTGAACACAACATTGCTTTTGTGCTTTCCTACACAACTTTGCTTATTTACACTTCCAGCTGTTACTGAGCTTTATCACTCATTTTGAGTCTGAAAGTTAAACAGCTGAAACTCACTGTTAGAGCCAGTTGTTGTTCAGGGAAAATGTCTACCTATAGTCTCTGTAGAATTCCCATAGCAGCCTAGAAAGAGACACAGATATAGACTCATACATAATACAATATACGTTTGCTATGCTCTTTATTTAAATGTGTGTGGAAATCATATCATGTTATTTTAATAAACCACACAAGCCAGCCTCACAGGCCAGACAGGTCATCACAACCGTGAGTAAAACTCTAAAGTCTGCTTTAAAAGGCTCCATATGGGGCTTTCACACCAATGCGGTTCCAGGGCTGGTTCGGAGCTAGAGCCTGAAAAGCACCGTTTTTTCCTGTTCACACCGCAGCGGAGCCAGGCTAAGCTCCGGAATCTGGAGAAAAGTATACGCTTGGAGAAGTCGTTATTTAATTTCATCTGGCTTCGTATGATTAAAAGCAACACGATCATCGACCCAACGCAGTCCCCCATTGTTGTTGTTGTGGTGAGCGCCGTAACGCCGTTCAGCGAAAATCAGCGACGTAAACGGTGACGTCATGACGCAGCACCAGTCGGGCTCTGGGCGGTGTGAACAAGACGGGGCTGAAAAGAAAAACCGGTTCCGAACCAGAAAAGCTCTAGCACGGAGCTAGAACGGGAATCGCGTTGGTGTGAAAGCCCTACTGTAATAGTGGCTTATATGAAGGTAGCAGTGACACTCACTGTAAAGCTTCTGATTTTAGATGATATTCCAATCAATCAATCAATCAAAGTTTATTTATATAGCCCAATATCACACATTTTAAATTCGTTTTTGTGTGGTCTTACTTGATTTTGAGTGACGAACAAAAACATGGAAATCTCTCGTAAAATAGAAAAAGGTTTTTTTCGGAAAATGTCGTGGTCATAGCACCCCAATGCTCTAATGCCCCTTTCACACCGGCGCTTTTCCAGCTCCTGCTGGGAGCTAGAGCCTGAAAAGCGCCGGTTTTTCCTGTTCACACCGCAGCGGCGGCGCGTCATAGCTCCGGAATGCGGTTCACTTCCAGCTCCAAAAAATTGTCGGTCCAGAGGCAAGAGCTTCGGAGCTATGACGCGGCGTCGCTTACGTCTCTTACGTCGAGGCGTGCAGGAAACCTTACTTTGACCATCCGTTCGCTGTTATTGATCATTGTGGAGATACATGGGCTGTACAGGTTGTCATGTCCGACTATCAGAAGTAGAATCATAATGAAAAATACGCCGGTAAAATGTGCCTGTAGAAAACGGCTTAGCAAGTAGTCAGTTTAGCTTCGGTTGCTATGCTAACATCACCCATGTTATACCAGAGAAACTTTCATAACAGCGTTGTGATGCCAAACAGCGTCAATTCAGACTGACACACATTCACTTAAGGGGAACTGGGGATATGTATCAGCTGCTTGTGTGACAGTCAGACAGTGAATACTTTAGAGCCGTGTGAGCTAACCCGGAGCTAACGGGAGAATAAACTCCCGTGGAAGTGCAGCCAGCACTGCAGCGGTCGGTAAATGCCGCTGAAACACATTAATAAACAATGAACCACGGCACTCTGGAGAAAAGTATAAGGTTGGAGAAGTCGTTATTTAATTTAATCTGGCTTCGTATGATTAAAAGCAACACGACCCGACGCAGTCCCCGGCCCGTTGTTGTTGTGGGAGAAAATCAGCGACGTAAACTGTGACGTCATGACGCAGCAGCGGCAGCTCTGGGCAGTGTGAACAGAGCGGGAGCTGAAAAGGGAAACGGGAGCTGAACCAGAAAAGCTCTCGCGAGGAGCTAGAAAGTGAAAAGCGCCGGTGTGAAAGCCGCATAAGTGAAAAGTAAAAAAAACAAAAACCTGTAAGGGAATTTGGAGTTAAGAAACATTTGTCTGTATTAAATGGTTACTGTCCTCTACGAAAGGCATCAGACTCCATCGGGGTTTTCAAAGAAAGTATAAAAGATATTGGATTCATCCCTACAGCCAATAAAACGACTGGTGTAACACTGCTAACAGCATGTTAAATCACTTCTTTTTTTTGGCCGGTATCTCTCAGTCTCTCTGTCAAATCTGCATCGGTTCCACATCGGAGGCCTGCGGGCGGACTCAGATAATG